TGACTCACTTGAGTTATGTGCCACATTAACTTGCACAAGTCTTAAGTGGCTTTTAACCTTATTTCGTTTCCGTTTCTTCGCTGCAGCTTTCCGCAGTGCGATGCCACACGGTGGGCACTTTTTTTTTGGATGAAGGGTCGCTGCAACGGCTCCTTAGAGAGCTAACCGAGCCGAATATGTAATGCACTTAATTTTCTGGAAATATAAATGAGCCTCGATTTGTTTCCAGGCCAGTGAAAGCATCAGCTCCCAAAGCAATTCAAGTCAAGCATTGACGGCTTTGGGAGAACTTGAAACCCTAAAGTAAATTTTTTATAAATCTGTAAGCTTCTATTTCAAATATAAAGCAAATCTGTTAGCTTGCTAAAAAATTAATTATCAACTATGTTTTTATTTAAAATGTTGCTTAAGCAATCTCAAACCATATCTTTGACTCCCTCGCCACAAATATATACAAAAAAGGCTTAAGTCCTTCTGTGTTTTTCCATTGGCCGTTATCAAACAACAGCTTATGGCCCATGTAGCATAGACAGCAACAAAATCAAAGTTACCCACAAGCCGTAGGCCAGAGGTAAGCTGAATGTGTTTTATATTTAGCTGGGCGGAGCGGGCGTGCCTCTTTAGCTAAGTGCCCAGGCATTGCGCTAGTTTTATTCCCTCACTCTCTCTCTTTCTCTATCTAGCTGTCTCATGTGTATCTGTGTGTCTGTGTGTGTGCGGATGACACACATGCGAAACTTAAGTTTTGAGCCGCCTACAGAGCAAAGCAACATTGTGGCAACTGTCAGGGACATGTGGGCCAGAGAGAGAGAGAGGGAGAGAATGAGAGAGTTCATAAGCCAAGCCCAAAGCTGGCAGCAAAGAAACTCGCAATTTAAGACTATTATCGCATTAAATTCGCAAAGCAGCGCCGGCTCATTAAAAATTCGCAACTTAGTGAAGCGTGGAGTAGGCATTAAAGTTATCGCTGGGATGGGCCGGATGGGCTAGCAGGCGGCTAAAGCCGCAAATGGCAAATCAAATTAGCTAATTGATTTGTTATCAATTGCGGTTGACTTTAGCGAAAAGTTTGTAAGCCAACTTAAAGTGGGTAAGTTGGAGCTGCCAAAAGCCAACAAGTAGTTCATAATAAAGCGATTTAGTGGCTCGCCATAAAATTGAGACAGCCAGTGGGGCAGCCAGAGGGGAGGGGGTGGACGAGGAGCGGCACGCACACATGCCAGGCACGAAGGCAGCTGCGTGTTCGAGCCGCATAAAATCCCCAAAAACAAGCATGTGTGCGAAATGATTATATCCTTGCCAGCATGCGTATGTGTATGTGTATGTGTGTGTGTGTGTGTGTGTTTGCCTTGTGGCATATTAAACAATAATATTTGCACGCGAGTGCGTCAAAAACAAAATCCAGCTCCAGCTCCAGCTCCAGCTCCAGCTCCAGCTCGAGCCTGGCCGTGACTACAAATATCTAATTGCCAAATGGAACTTTCCTATTTTGGCCGTTTTTTGTTGCTTTCGCCGAGCCATTTGGCAGCCAATTCACGTGCAACTAGGTTAATACAAGTGCAGGAAAAACAAGAGCATTACTTTTGGACTGCTCCATTGGTTCGCGTCAAATGTTTGCATATTATTTGCCGGCCAGCGCCATTTGCCAGATTAGGGCACTTAGTGGCGCCCATCAGTAACGACCACATCCACCACACTTCCCACGCCCCACAATATTCAAATGAGGCAACAGAAAGTGGGGAAATTGAATTTGTAAACAGGCAAGAGAGACAAGCGAGCTACTAAGTGTCGCCTTGCATTTGTTACGCTACGCTCACGTGGCGTATACTTAACGTCGCAGTGAGTGGCTGCAAATAACAAGGTGATAAATTCCCCACGCCGGTAATTAATGTGCACAGCATAAATTGGCTTAAATGCTCCAAATTAATGTTTACTTTTTTTAGAGAGAGAGAGAGAGAGAGAGAGAGAGAGAGCACATTAAATAAACAAAAAAACTTTCGCTCCTCATTTCACACATTTATCGCCAATTTGATTAGATAATAAAAGCCGCGACGCAGCCCGGGCATTAAAGACAAATTCAACAAATGGGCAATTTGATGTGTTGCTTTGTTACGTGCACGCACACACATTAACTTTTTCAATTAAGCTGTCGATCAGAGAGTGACACACACACACAGTTACTCTTCCATTTGAGTCAATAAATATCAATCAAACTTTGCTTAGGCAGGTGAACTGCGAGTATTATCAAAAAATTTTACGCTAATGCGATTAAGCTTAAGCTTAAAATATTTTACTTAATTTTATTTAACAGCCAACAAATTGTATATATTTATTTTAAGGATAAATAAAGAGAAAAATTAAAAATAATTTTAAAACAGGCTTATACTTCTTTAATTAACTTCATGTTTCAATGCACTTTGAACTGTTCACAGAATCGAACATTTTATCATTTAATTTTAAATGGAAGCTTTAGCTTAATGGCATTAAAAAAAAGAATAATAATAATAATAGAAATACAAATCAAAATCAAACAATTATTCGCAACTAAACATTAAAAATATTAAAATATTTCATATCAAATGATATTTAGAACATCTTTAGTTGATTTTAAGCTTTAGCTTCAGAAAAAACAGAATATATTTAATTCAAGGATTAAAACTAAAATTAAAATTAAATTATTAAACAATTCTAAGATTCTTCTTTCAATGAACTTTGAACTGTTGGCATATTATCACTTAACTTCAAACTGAAGCTTTAGCCAAATTGCATCAAACTAATTCCCAAAGATTAAAATTAAAATTAAAATAAAAGTATCAAACAATTTTACGCTTCTGCGATTAAGCTCAGCTGCTAACTGCTGGCAGAGTCAACCGTTTGATGAATTTTCAACTCGAAAGTTCAACTTTATCTAAATTCAATTTATCTAATCTTCAAAGTTAAGAGTTTGCCGTTTCTCGCTCATTCAATTTGAATTCGTGCTCAGACGCCCAAGACTCTGCATAAATCTAATTTTAATTTACGATTCCTTCACACACACACACACACGGGGCACACACACATACACGGAACGCCACATGATATACTACATATCATGGCAGCATCATAAATTGCAACCGAAAAATCAATTTCCATTTAATGCGGAAATCCTTGAGAGAATTTTCGTGGAGAACCGCAACAGCTGCGGCGCCCACTTGGATGTTCGCATTCTTGTGCTCACAGGAAATTAGAAATCAATTTTTATCACTTACGCACGGATTCGATTCGCCAGCTGAAGAGCTCGAGCCGGTGCACCGCCGTCAACTAAATCGCATCAAGTGCGAAACAATTTTGCAACGCAGTTTATTTGCGTGCCGCTGCAAACAGCTGCTGATATCATTTGGCAGCTGCAATTTGACAGCTGCTTCTGGCTGCAGCAGCAATTCGCTGGCAATGCGCAACAAATGGCCCGCCCACACTCCCCTCTCTCCCTCTTCGATTGTCAAGCCAACCCTTCCGTCTATTCCCTTCCAGCACCCGCTAGTCGACAGCTGTTTAGCGCTGCTGCTGCTGCTGCTGCTGCGGGAATATCAAAAGTTAGGCCAGGTACAGGCAGACAGACGGACGGACGGACGGACAGGCAGACAGACGCCCTGCGAGAAAATGGAAAAACTTTCGCACGTATAACATCGACTTTCACTTGTTTTTCCTTCTCTTTCATTTCTTTTTTTTTTTCTATGTGATTTCTGTTACTTTTCTGCAGCGTGCGCTCTTTTCAGATGACTTGTACGCCAGGCTAAAGGGAGTTGCTCAGCTCACATTCATAGAGCTATAGAATCTATATGACCAAAGACTTTTACTTCCTCATGCTTTTACATCCCACCTCTTCCAAATTTATTTTCTTAAATTTGTTTCTCTGTCTTAAGTGAACAGAGTATTACGCAGTCAGTCTTCATTTCTATATATAAATTTATTTTTACTGCTGAGCTGTGGCTGAAACGTTGTATTCAATTTGTTTTGGCAACAGCTTGGCACAGGTTCTATTAAATAATAAAGTCGATTCGCACATTGTTCACAGCAGCAAATAACAACAGCAACAACAATAACAAGCAGCGGGAAATTCCATTGGATTTTGGCTGCTTTTTCACATTGTTATTCAACGCAAAAGCGTCTCAAGTTTTGTCCTGGAATCAACCATTGCCAAAAGTTCTGTAAACACAATTTTAAGCAGCAGTTGAGTTGCATAAAATCTGAAATAATATATTTCCATTGAAATTCTAGAGAGTTGCTCATATTTCTTTGATTTAATGATGCGGGAGAGATGAGGTTAAATAAAAGACTGATATAAAGAGAAGTTCAATAAATAATTTAAAGAAAATTTACAGCTCTACAGTGAATTTTGGTGAATCATCCAAGTGAATCATAGACTCACAGCCAAATGTATTTTCAGCAAATGATTCGATTCACATTTATAGCGAAATACAGCTTAAATTCAAGGTATTTCCAGCGGATTGGCTTAAAGCTGCAGCCTGGCAGTTCACATATACATATATACGCATGTATATTTAATTAACTTTTTTTTTTTCGCTGGCATCAAAAATATGATTTTGATCCATTTGGCAGGCGGCTAAAATGAAACGAATGCCGAAAACCATTTGCAACATGCCGAATGCGCGCTAAGACTTTGGATCCGGCTGCCGTGGCGGTTATAAAAGCCAGTGCCATATGCGCGTCAGTTAGCTTTATGGCTGCTCCCGGCTAAAATACACATAAACAAGCAGACTCCCACACACACACACACACACACACACACACACACTCAAGCAATTTAATTAAAATTAATGTATGTATTTTCTGCTTCTTCTCTTCTCTTTTTTTTTTCTACTTGATGCTGCTCCTGTTGCTGGCGCTCTTCATATTTCGGCTACTGTTGCATGCGTCCGCCCACTCCTCTCCCTCTCTCTCTCTCTCTCCCTCTCTCTCTCTCATTTGACATTTTGATGGCCAACAACAACGACGTGCAGAAAAAAGGCCATGGTCAGCATGGAGGGACAGTTTCTGGTGCGTCAAATTTACGATGACGAAATAACATACAATCTAATTGGAGCAGCTGTCGAGATACTCAGTAAGTAGCTGACGAGGGGCACTTGGCTGGTTATTACTGTAGTTGGTGCCACATAAAACACGGCTCATAACACCAGCCCCAGCCATATTTATATTGTATATATTTACTTTTTTATATGCCCCACACAGAAATACCTGCCGATGATATATTGGAGCTCTTTGGCAAAACATTCTTTGAGTTCTGCCAGGATTCGGGCTATGATAAGATACTGCAAGTGCTGGGCGCTACACCGCGCGACTTTCTACAGGTGAACTATGCTGACGACTACAGTCAAGCCTGGTCATAGCGAGCCTAAAGGAACTTTATAGCTAACTTGATCGCAACAGAGTTGAGCTGTTGCTCGCTGCATAATTAAAAATGAAAATACTTGACGTTTGCTATGGCCAAAGGCTTGGCCGTACGTTTGGCTTGCCTATATGTAATTAAAGCCCCTTTTCGCATTTAACGCTCATTTCACATGCATCACACACAGCATCTCATTCAAGAGCCAATACCGCCCTCGCCCACCTGCCCGCCCTCCTCCGCCCATACGCCATTGCGTTTGCTGGTGCCAATTTCGATGCAAGTCATTTTTCATGTTGCCATCCAGTTGCTGCTCGCTTTCAGTCGCATTGATAAGCATTATTTTGCTTCACTGCACCCAGAGTGAGTGAGAGTGAGATAGAAACTGTGAGCGACACACACGCACACAGAGAGAGAGAGAGAGAGAGAGAGACACTCACACACACCCACATACATATACTACTGCAGCTCGATTGGGGTGCGGCCTGGCCTTTTGTTGCACTCACATTCGATTTATTTTCAATTTTCCACACTTTTCACCGCACCATCAACGGCGCACATCATCAGGCGTCCTCGTCATCCATCTGAGCCCCATTCCTTAGTCATAATGAAAAATGAAATTGAATTTTTGCTGCATTTTCATGGGAAAACATTTGTAAAAACAACGACAACAACAACAACAACAACAACAATTTTATGGCCTACATATAGAACCTAGATGCATTGCACGACCATTTGGGCACCCTGTACCCAGGCATGAGAGCGCCTTCGTTTCGCTGCACGGAACAGGATGGGGAGCTACTGCTGCATTATTACTCGGAACGGCCTGGCCTCGAGCACATTGTCATCGGCATAGTCAAGGTAAGAGGGGGCTGGTCAGGCACCTGCGCTGACACCTGCGCTCACGAAGTTAACCCGCCGCATTATCTCTTACAGGCCGTCGCATCGAAGCTGCACGGCGTCGAGGTGGAAATTGACATTGTGAAGCGCAAGGGCGAGCCCATCGATGAGGCCGAGAAGGAGCGCGCCCTGGCACGCGAGCAGCAACAGTCGGACACGGAGGCGACAGCTGGCGGATCCGATGAGGCGGCAGCAGATGCTGCTGCTGCTGCTGCTGCTGCAGCCCAACTGTCAGCCGAACACAATAATAATCACAATGCCAACAACAACAATGCCAGCAGCAGCGGCACCAGCAACATCAACAACAACAACGACGCTCAGCAAATTGCCATTGAGCCGGGTAAGCGAGGCGCAACTATTCAGGCCAGCAAATTGCTCGGGGCTCATTACGTACACTATTAGCAGCGGGTATAATGGACTAGCGCGCTCAATATGCCGCAATTAATAGCGATTGGATGTTGTCTGTAAATTACACTTTGGCCACAGTCAGCAGAAAGCGAAACTTTTTAGAGCTTAGCCAGCCGCTGGCAGCGTCTCTGACTAAGTCGATTGAAGACTAGAGATGGCCTCGTGAGAAGCGAAGCTAAGGGCATTATTATAGCTGTAATACTAGATTTTCAGCTAAGATTTTTCGTTCGAACTGCGTTCAGATAAGGCTGAAGTAAACAAATATTATAGTTCACTTCCTTTCGTGGCGCGATAATGCTTATTCATCTCTAGATGTATATATTCATATATGGCCTACTCACATATTGCCTAGCAGAAATCGATTGGGTCAAAGCCTTAACCTAAGCATTGGATTCTAGAAATGGTTTCTTTATGGTCTCTTTATCTCTTCCAGATGATATATTACAAAAATATCGTTCTTTTACTTACGATCTGTGAATAACTATAGCGGATTGAATAAGGAATATATTAAGATATCTATGAAAACTAGCATATGGTTTATCGAGTTTACCACTAAAAAACCACAATATTATCGATTTATCGATGTATATATATAGTACTTATATACATCTATAGTCCTGGGTAAACTTAGCAAATATTTCACAGCTCACGCCTTTTCGTGTCACGTCAGTTTTTTTCTTTCATCTCTAGCCACATGTAACATTTATAAATTGCCTGCTTCTTCTTCTTTGCCATTGCTGTTAATCTTCAATTGTAATGGCCGCAACCATTGCACAATCCACAGCTGGCGAGCAATTGCCGGCCACATCGAAGGCCACAGGCGGCGCGACATGTGGCCCACTCGTGCAGGATAGCTTCGATTGCGACGGCGACAAGGAGCAGAAGTGCCTGCGTCTGCTGAAGAACAAGAGCGACGACATCGAGCGCTACGACCACGTCCAGTTTCTGATACGCGAGATCAATGTGGCCGCCAAGTCGCAGGTCGATGCCAAGAAGGATGAGCAGGCGGCCGTCGATGACATGGAGTTTCTGTGCGAAGGTAATGGCGCAGGCAAAGCGCTTTCTATTAATTTGGCTAATTGCCAGGCTAATCGGTTGAAACCCTTTCGCCCAACAGCGCCCCTCATCTCGCCGGCGACTTTCTGCAAGGTGTTCCCCTTCCACCTGATGTTCGATAGGCAAATGAAAATCGTGCAGGCCGGCAAGGCCGTATCCCGCGTTATACCCAGGTGAGTTAAGGACTAATGGACGCTGGCCAGTCAGCTCCACAGCCAGCGCCGGGCTTTGTCATGTTTGCGATTAGCCATTATGAGCGACCTTCTACCTTCTGCTTCTTCTTCTCCTTCTTCTTTCTGTTCGCCGCAGAGTGGCCGAGGAGAACTGCTCGCTAATAGAGGTAGTGGAGGCCATTAGACCACACCTGCAGCTAACATTCGAGAACATTCTATCGCACATAAACACCATCTATGTGCTCCAGACGAGGCAGGGCGCCATGAGCAGCCGGCTCGAGCAGCGCTTTCTGAGACTAAAGGTAAGCTGTGCTTTGATTTGCCAAAGCGAACTGTTCTCCCTCTCCCTCTTCCTTTCTCTCTCTCTCTCTGTGCTTCGCTTTAGTCAACCACATTTCAATATGCGGTCACACACACATATATACATCACATAATGAATAACCAAAATGGCCGCTTAAGCACAGCCGCTGCCGCTGCCGCTGCCATCGCCGCCATTGGGATTGAAACTGAAATTGCTTTGCATTAAATTTAATGCGGCTTGCCACAAAAGCGTTGCATTAAACTCATTTTTACGATAATTGTTTTGTTTTTGGCTCACTTTTTCACTAAGCGTTTTCTCTCTGTCGTTTCTCTTCTGTCCATCTTCCAGGGACAAATGATGTATATACCCGAAACGGATCGCATACTGTTTCAGTGCTACCCGAGCGTCATGAATCTGGATGATCTAACCAAGTGAGTAGAGCAATAAATAAGACCAATTGCCATATACTGAAGTGGAAAAAGAAACTAGTAAAGTTTTTGTAGTCGAAATTTTTTCCATTTATACTCGTTTTATTTTTAATAGTACATAAATGAAACGTAAATCCTGCAAATAATATTTCCAGATTTATCACACCTCGCATAAGTGCGTCACAATACTTATGTGACTTTACCAGACCAGAGTATATATATTCCACTTTCGAAATATCTTGCTTCACCAGCGACCAAATGGCTTCTAGACATTCGGACGGACAGCATCATGAATGTTACAAAAAATCGATATACTCATTTCACACTGTGAATGAGTAAAAAAAACTGATTCAAGTCATTTCATAACTTATTATTCCTGTGCCCAACTAATGTACACAAAATTTTCCAATTGAGTGCACAGAAATGTGTATTGTAATCAATGATTACAACAGCAACAATTTCATGAGGTACTCTCCCTCCCACTCCTTCTTTTTATTCACTCTCTCCCTCTCTCTTTCTCTTTCTTACTAAAATGCCTATCGTTCCATAGGCAAACTCATAAATGTTTGCTTCGCTCTTCCATTGTTACATAATATGGCTTTTCTATAAGCGATTTCTCCGGAAAAAAAACCTAATCCCAAATGAATACAGACATTGTGCCAGATAATCTCATGGCAGATCTTTTGCTATCTGTTGTGCATTAAAATTACCCAAAGCATAAAAATTTACATTTGTTTATTTAAATGTAGATTTATAGAGCAGCTGCTGGCACTTTACGGCCCGTTGTTTATTATTTGCGCCTCGAAATTGAAAGAAATGGCAAATATTTCGCTTAAATTTATTGGTGACAGCAAATATGTATTGCCACCTGACTATAAGCCCGGCCGCACACATACACACACACGCGCGCACACTCCCCCCTCTTAGACGTACGGATTTTTTATTTTATTTGCCCGCATTCCAGCTGAAGCCAAGTTAAATCCAAATAGACTTAAGTTATATAAAATGCGCGTCATTTTTTTTTTTTTTTTGGTAATTCCACTCACCCCCACAACAACAACAACAACATCATTTATTATAGGAAGGGTCTCTACATCTCGGATGTGCCGCTGCACGATGCGGCCAGAGATTTGGTGCTGCTTTCCGAGAAATTCGAGGCGGAGTACAAGCTGACCAAGAACCTGGAAATGCTGACGGATAAGCTACAGCAAACGTTTCGCGATCTGGAGAGCGAGAAGCAGAAGACGGACAGGTAAGAGGGAGCAGCGATGCCAAAGCGTAACACAAATAGAAACACATTAGCAAAGAGCGCTCAGAAAAAAAGAAAAACAACATGAACAAATCGTTGCATGCTTTCAGGCGCGAAATTAAAATTACTCGAACATTTTCTTTCCATTTGTTTGTCATTTGTTGCCACCCCCTCCTGCCCTGCTGTCCTGCTGCCCTGATGCTGTGATGTTCCTCGGCAGGCTGCTCTACTCGGTGCTGCCCAAGTCGGTGGCAAATGAGTTACGACATCAGCGTCCAGTGCCGCCCAAACGGTAAGCCAAGAAGCCCCAACCCGACGGATTACCCACCCAGGCTGGGCTCGTGTCGTGCCGCATGATATGAAGGTCTTATGAAGAAGAGCAGAGTATGAAATTTATAGGCTAGCTAAGCAGCACTTGTATTTATTGAAAATACGACACTAAGCAGGCTATATAAGTTATTGGCTTCTCCTCTCTGCCCTCCGCGCGGCTTGTTGTAATAAGTCACCTTTGACAGGTGCGTGTTGGTAACCGATATTTGGTAGCACGCATGCAAATGCGTTAATAAATTAATAATTATTGACATAAAAGCTGACGCAAGTCAACACGTCACATAAACAGAGTCATAAATGTATAGAGGAGTCGAGTTAGTTTTCATTTAGTCGGGTGAGCTCTAAGCTTAATCAAATGTATATTCAATAAAATGTGGTAATCTTCGATTAGTGTGCATAATGCAAATATATGTATATACGCATAAATATCTTGATAAATTGTATTAGTAGCTACTCAGTCGGGCAAAGCGTGTCTCTAATCAAATGTAATTCAGATCAACAAACAGAATATACATATATACGAATTCGTGTCACGACTCAGCTCAACACGCACTCATTAACCTGAATAGAGCTGGTAGATAGATAAGTCATCTGGAACGCCTCGGCACGACACGCAGCCAGCTCTAAGGCTCAGCCTGGAGCTGTCAATGGCCGCAAAGCATTCGCTATTTGCGCAATTTATTTAATGCTTCCATTTATTTTGACAGCTACGACTCCGTAACGCTGATGTTCTCCGGCATTGTGGGCTTTGGCCAGTACTGCGCGGCCAACACGGATCCCGAGGGCGCCATGAAAATTGTGAAAATGCTCAACGAGCTCTACACAGTCTTCGATGCGCTGACCGACTCCAAGCGCAACCTGAACGTCTACAAGGTGAGCACCATTAAATACAAGTATATATAGCCATAGATGTAGATCTATAGTAGACATTGAATGCACTCGCCTCAATGCGTCTTTAATGGCTGTCAAAACGTGGCCATCAACCTGACACTTAATTACAATTTTCGTGCTCGGCCGCAGAGTGTTTGCAAAATTGAATCGGGTCAAGCAATTTGCCAGCTCGCTTTTAGGTCAGCTGTCAATTTGCCTGGCAGCCGCTTGAATATCTATTTTCACCACCAACACTCACACACACGCACACACACTTATCTGTGTGTATTATTTACTTGCCAGGTGGAAACTGTGGGCGACAAGTACATGGCCGTCTCTGGGCTGCCGGATCACTGCGAAGATCATGCCAAGTGCATGGCACGCGTCGCTCTCGACATGATGGACATGGCCAAGAACGTCAAAATGGGCTCAAATCCAGTGGTAAGTCTGTTGAGAGCCAAGCTCAGTAAATATTCAAATAGCAATAGCAACTGAGTGAATTTATTCTGTTTGTGTCATGTCGCAACTGCTATAATGATGATGATGAAATTATAAATTATATATAAACTATGGTACCTAACAGCCACACAGACATTTAGCCAACTTTCAGGTGTCTTAGACCTTTGAATTTAATTTGCAGTCAATTTAAATTATAATCGACAATCAACAATGAAAATGTCTCGACTTCATGGAAATTCGCATTCTCTTAGTAATTAAAGCAGCAGTTGATGTAATTTGATATTTGAAATATGATTGGAATGGTATGCAGTTAAGGTCGATTAATAACTCTTTAGTTGGCAACAAGCTTGGGTTATTTACAGCGCCTCTGTCAGCTGCACACTCGAGGCGCGACAGAATTAAATGAATGCTGCAAATTGTATGCACAACTAATGTACAACTTTGTCAAGTGGCAGTAACAGAGCCAGAGATAGAAACAGAGAACAAGAGAGAGAGAGAGAGAGAGAGACAGTTGCCAGTTGGTGCCGAGTCGTTTGGCTGCCTGCTAATTGTGCGCACTGAAAGCATTCGAAAGTTGCCCCCGATTCGTGGAGCCAGCTGAACAAGCTGCGCGCAATTTGTTGCTGAATGCATTTAGGCAACGGCTCAATGTTGCATAAATATCAATGGGGCACAGACACCAGAGCACTACGACTCGCAAATTGCCGTGACAAACAGCACGTAAAATATTAACAAAAAAAAATATATATTTATATATATACTAGATGTTCTCCCTTTTCATACTGTGCCACAGAGACAGCAAAGTAATTTAAAGCAAGAAATTCATGCGGCTCGAAAAACTTAAAATTCTACAGACTGTAGACAATTTCACATTTTGACAAATTACTTCTAGGAAATGAGCAAAGTCGAGTCAAAAGATTAGTTATGTAGAAAGTTTTGCTCTTTCATAGACAAACTCAAACGAATTTGAGAGGATTTAACTATTTAATCTGAACTCTTTTTGGTAGATTTGTTTGATAGTTATTTAAAAACTCTTGAATTTCTGCATAAGACTCTTGATTTAGAGAGTGATGCACTGCAGAGAAGAGAGCTACTGTGACCTAGGCTTAACTCTGATGTTTGAGTTGTAGAGGCTAGTGCTAAACTGACCTCCTTCTCTGAGAATATTAACACTAGAAGAAGCAGATGATTGAGCTACTGCATTCCATGCTTTACTCTGAGAGCTAAAAGCAGCTCAAACAGCTAGTTTTCTTATATACTCAATTTAAGGCGTATTGATCTCTTTCTTTGAGTATGAAAACCCTAGATAAAAGTTTGTTACAGTGACCCGAAGAATCAAATATGAGCAAGCTTCAATAAGAAGTGTTAAACGAATCTCTTCAAAGAATAATGTCTTTTACTTCAAATATTCATCTAATGAAAACATTCTTCTTCATATAGACATATCTATTGATGCTCTCTCGGAGTTCAGTTGAACTTGCAAATAAAGAGATCCATATGATGTGGCCGTTAATATAATACTCTTATTTAAACACTATGAAAATATGACTGAAATATAAAATTATGATCGTCATATAACTACTGCTTCATATAACTACTCTTCAAATATAACTATTGCTGCAAGCAGACTTAACTTGATCGTATTCATAATATCTGCTCCAGTCTGTAGCATATAATACACACAAATGTAATACCCCCTTCCCATACATACATATATATTGTAGCATAAAATTAGTTGATTCGCTGCAAAAGTTGAGCTGGCAAAAAGTTGTGGCAAATTGTGTAAATTGCTGAAATTAATTCCAAATTGATGACACCGTGTCAAAGCCCAAGCATCAAGTTGTGTGACGTGCCTGGGTTGACAACACAGTCCGAGCCCCGTCAGCACCAGCCGCACCACCGCCACCAACAACGACGGTGGCCATCTCTGCCCCAAGACCTTGGCAGCCCGTGCCACTTGACCGTCAGCTGCGTCGTGCTGCGGCCTGTTGCAATTTGAAAATAGTTTGCTAAAGGGTATGCAAATTTGTCACCAATGCACATAACGGGTGACACTTTGATAGATGCAACTCTTAGAGTTGATAAGAACTGGATCTATGTATGTCTCTCTGTTTTCTCCCTCTGCTGTCAGCCTTAGAGTAATAATATATTGTCATCTGACAAGTTCCTTCCATAGCTTCTATTACACTTATATATAGTTCTACAGTTAGGGTATCTATTCTCCTACTTCGGACAGAGCACGCTTGTTTTTCCAAGATCTCTTTCTGTTCTCTCTTGTGGGCTTAAACACTTTGAATGCTTGAGCTTAAAATATACGAGAGACATGTACACAGGAAAAGATATCTATATATGTATGAGTGTGTGTGTGTGTCTGTGAGAGAGAGAGGGGACAAGGGGATGTCGACTTGATGGCATCCTTCACAATTACAGCAGCCCAGTCCGACGTTGTTGTACGTGTACGTGTGGACAATGCTTGTGGCTTGTTGCAGTCACTTGCTTGCTGCATGTGCGGCAAGGCGTGCAGCAGGAAGTCGTCCTCGAATGCTCAGCTCATGTCGCCCGGCTTTATTGTCAAAGTTGTTTTTGCCAGCACTTTCATAGCACCGCACGCCCCGATTCGCGCCACGCCCCTCGAGTGCGTCGTCTTAAGCCATCGGCCCATTCGTCTTCCACTCGTGTTGCATGTAAGGCGACTACTGTGAACTGCTGTGGCTGCCACCGATGCTCATCTTATGAGTGATTGCCTTTGGTAACGCAGCCGGACGCACGTAGCCGGACTCACTCCAGCTCAACTTTGAAGTATGTGCAGTACCGACTGCCAAATTAAAAAAAAAAAAGTGAACAAAAAAAACAAACAAAATAAAATCGAACAAGTCAAAACTTGTTTGCCTTTCGACAGGCAAAGAGCCAAATTGATAGATAGCTCAAAATGCAATTAACAAATCCCAACCGGATTCGCTCTCCTGCTGCTCTGTGGCCATTTCGCGCTTCATTAGCTGCACAACAACAACAACGATGTGAAAACAATAAAAATGTAACAGAATACCCTGAAGCACTGTTGCCCCACCTACCACCACCCACCTCCCACCTACGCCCCTTTCATGCAGCCAATTATGCAATTCTGTTTTCCTAGCAAAAAGCTTTCTATTCTTTTGGCGCGTTCTGCCAGCTGCTTGCAATCAATAAATATTACTACAACTGTTCAAATAAACTTTCGCCTGCAGTTCCTTTGTTAATACCCTGTATGGCAAATGCAGAGATTGAGTGGATTAGTTAGCTAAGGAAGTTTGAACAAACTTTTGATTGATATTGTTGCATGATATTACAAGTCGAAATATTGTATAGATTGTATTTCATTCCATATATTTTGTGTGACAATTTATGTATATAAATCTAAAATACATACATACATACCTCTTGGAAATTAGACATCTACAATTCCTACTTTATTTTCTGAGTAAATTCACACAATTCCCAAACTTGCCGAGCACTTTGGAGCTATATACATTTTAAGCTTTTATTGAATAGAAAGTGCTTCGCTCTAATTCAAAAGCAACATATCAAAATTACATTTGTCCGCCACATGGTCGACCAGACATTGATTTGATTCAGTTACCCGCAGTTTCTGTGCGAATCGGGCCACACACATATAGCACAATCATAAAAGCTTTGGACACCCTCTTCAATGCTGTCCAAATGAATGGAGCAAAGTTTTCGACAGTTCTCACACAACCCAGTTCTGTGCGACCTCGCCCCGTTCAATTGGCAAAACTAAGACACGTAATTACTGCAGCGTACTCCATTTCTGATATACCCTGTATACAAGCAGATGAGCGAAGGATTACTTGACTATTTATACTAATTTCGTGAGAAGTGTGCTTATGCATATATTATTCAATTTGGCTAAAAGAGAGTATATTATTTGATATAAAAGCATTGAAAGAAATTATTGTTGTGAAATAAATTTAAAAAAAAAAAATATAAATAAATAAATAAATAAATAATTAAAAATCATCTATCAGAGAATCATTTTGGGTTGAGGATTTAAACTACCTATTATTATAATATTATGGAAAATATTGTAAGGAAATTAAATTACCACTTATACATTGCCCATATTTATTGCACATTAGGAAGAATAAAACAGAGTTAAATAATAGAATGTATAAGAATGATATAGATAATGTTTCAAAATAACGGATAAGGCTGAAAACTGAAGGCAACTGTTTACTGATAAAGCGCTGTGTATCTAATTTGCTCTTGACAGTTGAATTTATTTCTTCTATTAAATACTTTGCCTTGGCACTAATTGACGATAATTACAAATAGCAAATTTAAGCTTTGAAATCAGTACTTCTTTCATTTCATTTATATGTATCATTGTGCTCATACCTTGTATAAGATATATTATCCATATATAATCAACAGCTTTATAAACAAACCAAAAACTCCATCTATAGCTGCAATACAGAAAATTTCTTTACTTGACCCACAAATCAATGGATATGCTCTCAACTTCAGCTGGGACTCCAATCTAAATGCCAGTCAAGTCCTTGAACTGTTTTTAATTGTGAATTCTCTCTGCATTGGCTTCTCATGCAGCACACAAACAATTGCACACATGCTAGAAAATGGCCAAGCATCTATTCACCTTGCCATCACACATTCCTGACCAGCTTTGGGGCAACATCACCTGCTGGGGATTGTCGCCTTTCGCCTTTCGCTTTTGGGTTTTTGGTTTTTGGTTTCTGCGTTTTTGGTATTTTGGCATTTTGGCCGCAACCGCAGCTCATTTCGTTTTAAATTTAATTAAAGAAAACTTTTGGCCAACGCAGAAGCAGCAGCAGCAGCAGCAGCAGCAGCAGCAGCAGTAGCAGCCGCAGCAGAGAATGTGGCAATGGCAACTGCAACTTTTTCAAAGTAATTGTGGCAACTTCTCCCCCGGCTTTGGCTGCCAACTTGCAACTTGGCACATTTTCGTGCAGAACTTGAGTCATTTCTGTTGGGCTGCTCGGAAAGTTTATTAGCACAATGAAGTGCTGGACTTGGTAATCTGCGCGTGGCACATACTTTAGCTGGGTGTTAGGCAACATTTTATTCAGTTAATAAATTACAAAGTTAAGCAGCTGCTGGAGCTCGTCTGTAAAAGAGTTTGACTTAAATATATGTATATCTGTTTATCCGTTCACAGCAAATCACGATTGGCATCCACTCGGGCGAGGTGGTCACCGGCGTCATCGGCAACCGAGTGCCCAGATACTGCCTCTTTGGCAACACGGTCAACCTGACGAGTCGCACCGAGACAACCGGCGTGCCCGGCCGCATCAACATCAGCGAGGACACCTATCGGTGAGTGCCAACAGACTGTGCAAATACTGTATAATTAGCTAAGTGGCGGGTGGGTTTGGTTCGGTGGTGGGTCCTGGACATCCTGGACATCCTGGGCGGCAGCATAGGCCTCAATGGCCGCCTGCTTGGCCTCGCCAATGTTGACGCCATCGCCATCGCCTGCGGTGGCCACAAAGGCGGCGACAGCTGCCTTCTCCGCATCGCTGACAGCCTCCAGCAGCTGCACATGATTGTCGCTCTCGTCCTCGCTCTCGGTGCCGCTGCTGATGGTCTCCAGCCGCTGCATGGCATTTGTCAGCCGCTGCACGGGCTTCTCCGGCGGCTGCAGCTGCGCTCCGTCCAGCTCCTCGGTGAGGTCAATGTAGCGCTGCAGGCGCTTGGGCAGCCGCAGCGTATCGATGCCGTTTGGCAGCTGATTGTGCTCGCGCAGCACATCCCGAATGCGGCAGCTAGGCGACAGAGCAAAGAAATTTGGTAATATAACTAATATTTGACTTTGACTCTATGTTAGCTGAGTAACAGACAGACGACATATCTCTTGGGCGAATCTGTGGAGCATAGCTAGTTAGCTGCCTTCAGCAACTTTCTCTGCGGCGCTTCGCTTGCCTGTCAATCTCGACCAGCTATTTCATAAATTAATTTAAGTTTCACATAATAAGCTGCTATAACGAAATAAAGTAGAAAGAGCTAAAAAATCAGCCAAGAAAAAAAGGAGAGCCGAGCGGAGCTCAGCAAAGTTCATGTGCTTAAAACTTTTGTTGTAAGAAAATTTCTATAAACTTTACTTTCGCACAAAGTTGCGTCTCTCTTCACTTTCCTTTTTTTTTGCGGCATTGGAATGAGAAAAGACCAAAATGACTAGCGGATGCTCTATACCATTTTTTCCGGGAATTTTTGCACATTTTTTAGCTACAATTTTGCTGATATTTTGACTCTAAATAATATACCCTATTATTTATTTATTAACTTAACAAAAACAAAATTCGTTTGATAGTTTTACTGTCGAGTCGTAAGCTGATGCCTATATAATAGAGTATTATATACTTTATATGCTCTACAAATATCTTTCTATTTTTAATATACTCTATATAATTTTTGTAGTTAGTCGAATCTAGACAGACTTGCTCGCTTTGCAGGGTATACGGCAGCAACTGAGCGAGAGAAGTTCGAGTGGCGGAAATGGTGTGTAGATTTTTCTCGCTTGCCTCTCTTGTTCGCATACTTTTTCACTTTCCCCACTTGATTCGCGCGCAATCAAGCGTCTTTTTTGAGGCATAGTGAAAGCTGCTTTCGAGGCGGCCAAAGGAAACTTACTGAGCCTTGCTTGAGTGCGTGTATATGCGTGTGTGTGTGTGTGTGTGTGTGAGTGGGCTTTGCTGAGGCAATTGCGAAATACTCTGTGCGAAATGCAAACACTTGAGTAACAACAACAAAAATTGGCATCATAAAACGAGGCGACGCCAGCCTTAGAATATGCTAATCTCTCGCTTAAGCTGCCCGCCTCAGTCAGCTGGGAGTAACTTTTTATGTAGCCGTTAATTTGCGTTGTCAACATTATTTACAGCTGTAAATTATGGCCTTCTTTTGTTCCGGCCACATCAATGAAGCGTGTCGTCAAGCAGCTGCAGCTAAACGTTTACGACAATGATGGGGGACTGGGACTGGAATGCGCTTAGTGGCCCATAGTCACATTAATAAGGCCTTAATTGAACTCAAACAGTCGATGGATGAGTAGTTAAGCTGTCGCAGAGAAATGCATAAATCGCACGTCAAGCGCCAGCCGCAGGCATTGAAATTGAAATCTGTTTCACAAATGCGGTCGCGCAATGAAATGCCTGCATATATATTGATTGCTGAATATAATATGTATGTAGCGCACATATGGACTCAATATGTATTCACCAGCCATACATACATACATACATATATGCTAGTCCAGTTGCAAGAGCGCAGTTTCCCAGCACAAACATTGGCCAAGGAAAAATAAATAGCTGAAGTAAAATGCAAACAGATTGGATATACATATATGTATTTTTTTAAGAAATATATGCACTAGAGATACCCTGTAATGCAGCTGGAATTGATAATTGTGAACGAGTCTTTTATTGGTAAAAAATTTTTCTTTGCAGAAGAGAATTTTTAAAAGTTTTTTTTCCCTCAATTTTTCATATAAGTGAAAAAACGAAAAATTCAGCTAAGATCTAAGACAAGAAAAAAAGACTAAGTGAAATAATATTGCTCTATTGTTTAGCAAAATATAAAAGTATATAGTAAAATATATTTTAAGCAATCCCATTCCCCTCATAAAGTTGGAAGCTCATTAGCAAAAACTCTCATAAAACTAGTTTCTAAAATATAAATAAAATATGCAAATATGCATCTAGTTCTATATACTATAAATATACTAAACACCCGCTAGCATCACACTTGACTTACAGGGTATTTAAGCACACACACACACACACACACACAAGTACAAATGGCCTGTGTGGGTGAGTCAAAGTCGTTGCGATTTTTATGTGACACGTGAGTTGGCAAATGGCAAACATGCGAGGCAAATAGAAAAAAGTTGGGGTCAATGCGTGCGGCCCCTGCCACACGGCCACAAGCCGCAGCCAAATCGGAGCACAAAGTGGAAAAGCCACAGCAAAGTTCTTTGTAGGCAACTTATCAAATTAGTAAATAGCTTGACAGCTTATCGATTAAAGTGCTGACTGCTAATCAAATTTGTACGAAATTCAATTAAATTTGGCCAACAGCTGTTGACTGAAACACAAGTCGGCCTGAAACGGCGCCAAAGTTGAGAGCTGGCTAAGGCCTCGAGATTGACATAATAGTCAAAGGGAGAGGCAAGGCGCCCAACCCCCTAAAGCCATGTCATTAAAGCGACACAGAACCCAAGTAAAACAAAGAGCAGCCAAATTTAAGGCCAGTTGGCAGGCGCAACAGCAACAGCAACAACAACAGCAACAGCAACAGAGGAGCGTCAACAAAATGCTTTGTCAAACTGTCTGTCAATCAGACAGAGCCAAGCGCCGCTGCCGCTGCTGCGACTTTTGTACTTATTAAATTTTCCGGGCTTATCGTCGAGCTGAGAGTGTGGAGCGCCAGCAGCAGCAGCAGCAGCAGCAATCTCAGCCAAAGTAATTGAATAAAAAACAAAGTTGAACTCGGCTGCCAAACGCCAGCCTCGCCTGTCGCCTTTCGCCTGTCGCCTGTCAAGCCCGCCTGACCCAGCAGCTATCCTTTCAGCTGGAGGACATCAAAGACGAGTGGACAGTCGTAGTCACAGCCCTATGCCCCTATGCGGAACAAAGTTCGCTTTCAGCTCCCAGTTGATAATTACCGGCACAAATGTCGCAGCATCGGCACACCATAGACCTGTTCCTTGCCCACGATTTTGTCCATTAGAAGTCGTCCATAGCGCTCGAAGAACATTTCCCGGCGTGTTCCGTACACCATGGGCTGCAAAGAGAGATGGGGGGGGGGGGACAAGTTAAAAGTGAGCAAGCAGCACGGTTGGCCGATAAACGCAGAGAGCTCTGGCTGCCCGCATCTGGCCACATTTCATCTGTCAAACCGAATAAACAGACAAACAACTCCCAGAACAGTTCCCAGAAAGAGTTTTCACTTGAGTTGCGGCAACGGATATTTCTTGAATCTTGATAGACCTAAGACTGTATTACATGTGGAATAATATTAAATATGTTAAATGAATTTTGAATTTTATATAAATATTTATAATATTATTATAAAATATTATTATTTTAAATTATGAATATTTGCATTAAATTATTTATAAATAGAGCACAAAATATAAAATTAATATTTACTTTTTGCATGCCTTATTTATAATATTTAAAATATTATTATAAAATATTATTATTTTAAATTATGAATATTTGCATTAAATTATTTATATATAAAGCTCAAAATATATAATTATTATTTACTTTTTGCATGCATTATTTAATTAATATTAATTATATTGACCTTCTTTAATTAGTATTGCCTATCTGCAGTAAATTATTTATATTAATATATGAAATTCCAAGTATATAAATAACATTTACTATTTGTATTAATTAATCAATTAACATTTACTATATAGACATTTTTTGAATGATATTGACTATTGGCATTAAATATTTATATTAATGTTATTTTATTAATATATACTATATGTATATATTTGCACCAATGTTGCTTAGCCAAAAACTTTTCCAAATCTCAAAGAAACTCTTTCTGGGAACATTCACAGTGAAGTCGGCAGAGCACACGAATGGCGTGTGTCAGGTGAATGTTTGTTTGCTACTCACCTTGAAAGGCATTTCAATCATGGGCACATTGCGCATCAGTATCTGGAGACAGAGCACCAGCTCGTAGCTATAATTGCGTCCATTCTCGATGAGCTTGTCGAGCAGCGCAATTATCACGGAGGTGCCGCCGTCGGGTGGCTGTGGTGCGGCGCCGTATCTGAAATGAAAGACGGGCCACGGGTCACGGGTTACGGGTCACAGTTGTGGTTTACGTGCAATGTGCTGGGTGCACGTAGTTGGTTAGCCGGCGCAAATGCTTGCGGTTCTTAGCTGTAATTTGTTGACGACGTTGCTCACGCTGCACCAACAGCACAATGCAGCTGCAATAAATCGGCGAGGCTAGCGGCAGGAAAGGGGGCGATAAAGCTTTGAAGCGCTGATAAACAGTATGTGCTAATGAAATAATGAACAGAACACGGTTCGCGGTCATGTAGTCGACGTCCTGTCATATCCATACACACACACACACACACACACACACACACATACACAAACATGCGTGTGGTAAATTGCAAATGAAGTGCAAATGCGGCATGCGGAAGCAGCCGAGGCTGTGGCAGCAGCAGCAGCAGTTGCCAGCTGGCAGCTGGCAGCAAACGGCAAATGTTTAATGGCGAAGGGCATCAGGGCTCTGTCACATTTTAAATTGAAAATGTTTGTCAAAATGTCTCAGTCGTTGCT